CGGGGTGCCTCTCCGGCTGGTGGGGAGGGTAAGGGGGCAGGTAACGCGGGGCGCTGCTACTGCCGCTGGCGCCGCGGGAGCTGCACCCGGTTCTCCTGGAGGGCTGGTGACTCGCGGGTCCCTTTCTTCCCCCTGGCTCCGCTCGGGCTTCTGTGCTGCTCTGCGCCTCCCTTGGCGGGATTTTCGGACTGGAAGGCGGGGAACCCGATCCTGCCCGCGACTCAATTACGCGCAGGCGGGGAGGGAACGGAAGGGAAGCCGAGAATGGGAGGGATGAGAGGCGCGGGCAGGGCGCGGACGCGGGCTGGGCGCGCGGGAGGGAGCGCGCCTGGCCCCCGCCAGCTGATTGGGAAGCTTATTAAAAGCAGAATACTCCAGGGGCAGCCTCGCAACGCCCGAGCCTGCACTGGGGGCTTGAACCCAGACGCCTCACACCGTTTTGCTTTGCAACCCAGACAGGGGCCAAAGGCCACCTCTGGGTCCCCAACTTTCCGCCAGCCCTGTTCTTCATCAAACCCGACGTCGGAAACCCACCACCACCGTGGACATCAATTTCAGTTCCCCTGGTCACCCGGAGAATTTTCTCCAAAATAAATGATATTGGAGATGACAAAATCCAGACCTTCTAGCTGCGTCGCCTCCCCCCACCCCTGCACCTTCCCTCTCCCAACTCCTACAGTCACTTCCACTGTCAGCCCCTTCCCACCGTGGAAGCTGTCACCCATGAGCAGAGTAGCTGTGCGCTTGTCATAAGAAGTGACAGATGTCTGCACGTTCCCAATTAAGCATCACTCTGCTGCAGGGGCTTCCTTTTTTTCCCCGCCCCCCCTCACCCTGTCATTGGGCCTTGGGTGACCTACTTAGGGAAACGTAAATCAATTCTGTGACACCCAAGAATTTAGGGGAATAAGCAATGGGGCTCAAACTCTGTGGTATGCAGAGCTCAGAGGCTGGTGAGGGTTTTCTAGACTTCCTAGAGTAAAACATAGGTGAATATTTAGATTGCAGTTTAGATACAGGTGTTAAGTTAAATGATTAGTAAATATGAAGCAAAGACTGGACTAAAGAGATGATCCCAAGTGCTTCCTCACCCCACAGGCTGGGAGATAGTCGAGCTGGAAGCATTAGAGGGCCAGTGGTGGGCTTCGAATACAGGCGTGCAGCATACCTCAGGGGACTTTTTGTGTTCTAGGAATCCTATTTCCCTTGGGTACACTCTAGCCAGGATGGAATGTCTTGGATGAAATATAAAGATTTTGTTCAATCTGAAAACCCCAATTGTCTCCTTCCCTCTCCTCCACGTGGGGACTGAGGACACACCCAGCAGTACTCAGGGCTTATTCCTAGCTCAGGATCATTCTAGACAAGCTCAAAGGATGATATGGGATGCTGGGGATCAAGCCCAGGTTGAGCGCATGTAAGGCAAACTCCCTACTGCTGTACTGTCACTGTAGCCCTGACTCCCATTTCTTTAACGTAAACATTTCTGTTTGAAGGAAAAAGAAGGAAGTATGAAGCAGATCAAAACAGAAAGTTCTGTCAGTCAGTTCAGAGATTCTCTACCTCTCCTCAGTTATTTCCTGCCCCACAACTTGCTCTTCTGATTTTCAGCTCATCGTTTGATGATGCCCACCCCAAATGTGACTACACAGTATACTTTCATTCACTAGTTTGAGGTGACATCCCTTAATCTGATACCTATCTATGCTTTATGTAGAATTCTCAAAACGTACCTTTTTTCAGAACACTGTCTCAGTCCCCAGATTAGAAGCAAGATTTTGTGTATTTCTTTTTGTTTGCGTGTGTGTGTGTGTGTGTGTGTGTGTGTGTGTGTGTGTGTTAAGTTTTGGGCCATACCTGGCTCTGTGCCCAGGAATTACTCTTGACAAGACTTGAGGGGCTACATGGGATGTCCAGGGATCAAACCTAGATCAGCTGCATGCAAGTGCCTTACCCACTGTACTATCTCTCCAGCCCCTCTGCAAGTGTTAGTCAGGTGTCCTAGGCTCTTTTATTGACAGCTCCTCAGAGCAATATTCAGTGAAAGTGTCAACTGGGATCAAATGGAGAATGGGGCTTTCCTACAAAAGCTAGAATCCAGCACTAATTCTTCTGGGGATATACCCAGGGAGCCCAAAAACACACAGCAGGAAATGCCATCTACACTTCTATGTTCACTGCAGCACCATTCACAATAGCCAGAATCTGGAAACAACCCAAGTGCCCAAGAACAGGTGACAGGAGAAAGAAATTATGGTACATAATTTCAACACAACGAAATACTATACAACTATTAGGAAAAACAAAGTTATGAGTTCATTTATAAATAGATGGGCATAGAGAGTAGATACTGAGTGAAATGTGTCAGAAAGAGAGGGTTTGATATAGAATAATTAGACTCTTTTGTGGTTTATAAAAATACATAATATGAGACTAATACCCAAGGACAGTAGAAACAAGGGCCAGGAAGATAGATCTTAGAAGTCTGCTTCAAGTGCTGGGAGAGAAGGCAGTTGAACAGAGAAGGGATCACTATGATTAGATAGTTGGAAATGATCAGTCTGGTTAAGAACTGCGTGTTGACCAAGTAAAGAGTGCCAGGAGGACCCTCTCGAGATGGGAGATGTGAGCTGAAAGAAGACCATAGACCAAACATGATGGCCACTTAATACCTCTATTGCAAACCACAACACGCCAAAAAAGAGAGAGAGCAAGAGGGAATGGTCTGCTACAGAGGCAGTGTAGGGTGGAAGGGTTGGGGTGGGGGTGGTGGGAGGGATGCTGGAACCATTGGTGGTGGGAAATGGGCACTGGTGGAGGGATGGGTACTCAATCATTGTATAACTGAAATGCAAGCACGAAAGTTTGTAAGCCTGTAACTGTACCACATGGTGATTCACTAATAAAAAAATAAAATCACTGTCACTGTCCTCCCATTGTTCATCGATTTGCTCAAGCAGACCCAGTAACATTGTGAGGGAAGGAGGGAGGGAGGGACGGAGGGAGGGAGGGAGGGAGGAAGGAAGGAAGGAAGAGGAAGGAAGGAAGGAAGGAAGGAAGGAAGGAAGGAAGGAAGGAAGGAAGGAAGGAAGGACAAAATTGTCTGCCATAGAGTCAGGCTGGTAGGAGGATGGTGGGAGGGTTTCAAAACTGGGGACATTGGTGGTGGGAAACATACACTGGTGGAGGGATGGGTATTGGAGCACTGTATGACTGAAACCCAATCATGAACAGCTTTGTAACTCTGTATCTCACAGTGATTCAATAAAATAATAATAATAATAATAATAATTTTTTAATGGAGAATGAAAGTGATGAGAGTTATCTTGACATATTGAACAAACCAGTTAGGGGGGATGCCTCCAAAGGTGCTCAGGAGTTCTGGAGGTGCCTTTGGTAAAAGCCAACAGGTCTGAGTGAATGAGGGCCAGCGTGTGAGGTTCTGTATTAGAGGCCTCCAAGGACACACTTTCCAGTGCTTAGGGGACCATGTAGTGCGATCAGAGATTGAATGGGGGTAGCCACATGCAAGTATGACTCTTAACCTATGTATCCATCTCTCCAAACCCTAATTCATTTTCTTAAATATAGAGATCCTCTTGCCTTCATAACTAAGGTCTCCATATACCTGCTACTCCTTATCACCTGCAAGTAGTGAGGAACAGTCTTCCTCTGTACATGGGCCTAAAGATGCCTGTTTCCATCTTGCATTCCATTGTCCCAGCAAAGCACATATGCTGGCTTTAGTACTATTTCACCTGCACAAGTTATAGAGGAAATCACATTTTCATCATCATAATGATTTTTTCCTTGGTGTTTTACTGGAGCGATAGCACAACAGGTAGGGCGTTTGCCTTGTACTCAGCCAACCTGGCTGACCTGAGTTCGATTCCTCCACCCCTCTCAGAGAGCCCAGCAAGCTCCCGAGAGTATCTCACCCACATGGCAAAGCCTGGCAAGCTACCCGTGACGTATTCGATATGCCAAATACAGTAACAAGTCTCACAATGGAGACGTTACTGGGCCCGCTTGAGTAAATCGATGAACAACGGGAGGACAGTGCTACAGTGCAGTTTTACTGGAAAGAGATTTTCCTACATTCATTATCACTCTATAGAATATCTGGGCCATTGAACAAGAAGTTATTCATTTTGTGGTTCTTCCAAAGCTATCTTTACATCTACCCATGTAATGTGTGTCTACCAGTTGAGTGAGCAAAAATGACTTTATTGCAGCACTTGTCTATATTTTTGATAAAGGAAGCATAAGGTTCTCAATATTTTTTTTCTGTATTAGATGTGTTGCAGCAAAAGTAAAAAACTTTTATTCAAACAGGAATGTGTGAAGATAACTTACTGATAGTGATTCTCAGTAAGCAGTAATTTTGCTATTGAGGGGACATTTGACAATGACTTGAGGCCATTTTGATTCTGATTTTTAAGGAAGTGGTTACTGAAAGTATAGAGAGAGAGTGTGGGGGAAATTATCTGCCATAGAGACAGGATGGGATGGAATGGGGAGGATACTGGGGGCATTGGTGGTCGAAAATGTGCACTGGTGGAAGGATGGGTGTTCGATCATTGTACGACTCAAATTCAAACATAAAGCTTTGTATCTGTATCTCATGGTGATTCAATTAAAAAAAAGGAGGTGGTTACTATGGGCATCTTTAATGAAAAGCAGGGAGAGATCAGGCACATTGCTGAACATCCTATAGTGTCCAAGAGAGCTGTCACTCCCCCAAAAGAATTACTTGGTGTGTATTGTAATAGAATCCATATTAGGAAACCTTGGCCAATAAATATTGACTACTGTATTTTAAAACATTGGGGCTTGAGTGATGGTACAGCAGGGAGAGCACTTGCCTTGCTCACCACCAACCCAGGTGTGATCTCTGCCAACCCATATGGTCCTCTGAGATGCACTCAGAGTGATCCCTGAGTACCAAGTAAGGAGTAAGTTTTTACAAGTAGAAATTTGTCATGATTCTAATTGAAATC